GGCGCTGCCCAGAGAGCAGGGCAGAAAAGCCAGCCGTGCTGGCCGAGGGCCCAGACACCGGGTTCTCCTTGCTCCAAAGTTTAAAAAAAAATGACCCTCTTGTGGATGCTCATCTATCTCAGCCCATTTCAAAGCCTGGAAACCATCTCTGTGAGACGCTGCCCATGCTGCCATTTCATCATTGCGGGCCGGCGGGGCGAGTGGGGGGCCAGGGGCCGGCGGGGCTCACAGCCTTCTGGGGAGCGGGTGGGAACCAAGGCTCCCGGGGGGAGGCCAGGGTGGGGGCAGGAGGGCAGGGAGGCTTGGGTGCGCTGGCACCTCTGGCCTCTTTCACGGGTCCCCCAGGTTTACAGAGTTGGCCCCTCCTTGGTTTCTCTCTCTTCCAGCCACCCCAATGCTCCCAGTTTCTGAGAGCACCCCAAACCGCAGATAAGCCACCTGCCTAGGGAGGCTGGCTCCTTCACAGAACAAGACCTGAACACACCCACCCAGTCATAGCTTCCCCTCAAAGGTCACCGTGGTTGAGAGGAGCAGCATGCCCCAGGGGTGTCCTGGAGTCTTTCCAGGGAAAGGTGTCCAGCTCACACCCACCTTGGGACACCTGATGGCTGCCCCTGCCCGCAGCCCCTGTAGGGAAAACCAGCCCAACTTGGTGCCCTTGAAAGGCCCAGGGAGCTCGGTTCTCCAGGGGCAGGGCACTGAGGGGCAGAGCCGGTGGGCAGGGGCTCAGCACTCAGCACTCGGAGCCAAAGGAGGGGTGTCAGCTTCTACCACCCACCTTTGACCCACCCCCAGAGCTACCGGCTGTAGATACCTCCACCGACAGACAGACTATGGCCGACAGAGAGACGGCAAACCCTGGCTCCCCTCCCAGACGGAGAGGCTGCTGGGTACGACTCGCTGTTTTCCCCTTGAGGACAATTTGTGCAGGGTACTAGGAGCCCCAGCTCCGCATCCTCATCCACTCTCACCTCCCCGATACTCCTTCCCTTCTCTCTCCCCGCTGCCTTCCTCCCTCAGCCCCTCCCCTGGGAGGGAAGACAGGGGCCAGCCAGAATGGGAGGCAGGCCGGGGCTTGTCTGTGCGCACACGTGTGTGCCCACAGACACGCCCCAAGTGCTCGGCAGCTCCCAGGCCCCAGAGAGGCCCCAGGCACGTGGTGTCGGAGTTACCTTGGTAACTGGCCTTTCTGGTTCAGAATAAATCGGGGAGTGAAGCCCCTGGGATTTGTCAAGAAACGCACTGTACGTGAAATGCTTTGCCATCTTGTACGACAGACTTTTTTTTTAAGTTCCAAAATTATGATGGGATTTTTTTTTGGATTTGCTTTACGAATAAACCTGATTGGTCCATTTCTCTTTTGACTGACTGCCTCTTTGTAGTGACATGATGTGTACACGGGCCGTGATCCCACCCACGGGCACGCTGAGTGTGTGCACGTGGAGAAGGATCACTCGTGCGTGTAGTTACATGATGTGAACAGGGTCATGGAGGAGGGTCCCCTCTTTAGTCTTTCAGAGAGCCCGCCCTCGTGTTCACACCCATGTTGGTGTTGCTGTCCCTTGAGGCTCTCCCTGCAGATGAAGTCTTTGAGGAAGCCCCCCGGGGGCCCACCGTGAGGACTGAGTTGCTCCACCCTGGCCTGGAATATTCTGCCTTGAGGGCAGAGAGCAGGGGGCAGGCTCCGTCCCCAGGACCTGGGAGAGGGAGAGCTCCTTGCTGTGGCCACGCTTTGCCCCCCGCCAGATGTGTCCTCAGACCTCTTCCCAGGTTCCTTCTCAGGCTGTCACAGACGCCAGGACTCTTTACCTGCCCGAGTCCATCCGCCGCCGTTGTCTTTACACGTCCATTTGCTCTGCTTTGCCGGAACGCTGCTGTGAGGAGGCAGAGGAATGGGAGGCCCTCCCAAATCATGGCCTCTGCCACTGCCTCCTGCATACATCCCTGCTGTGCCTCCGCCAGCTGACCAGGCCCGCTGCGGGCAGAACGGGACGGCTGACACTCGCGTGACTGGTGTGGGGGGTCAGCGCTGGCTGAGTGACTAGCTTAAGTCTGCGTGGGGGATGGAGCAGATTGAACGGTTGAATTGGGTCTGTGTGGGGACAGAGGGGACCGCGTGACCAGG